TGACCTGATTTTCGTGTACCACGTGTATGTATCAGTACAGTAGGCTTAGTTCCTTATGTTGGCCACCTCCATATATATGTTGACCAGTTTTTTAAAGTCCCTTGGGTGATCAACTTACAGAGGTTCTGTAATTAATTATTTTTGCATGTTGATTTATGAGTAAGAATGATCTATGATTTTCCTTTTTTTCTATATCCTTATCTGATTTAAATATCAAAATTATACTTTCTACTGGCTTCATAACATAAAGTAAGGTAGGTTCTCTCTTTTCTTATCATAGTCTGTGGTGTCCAGTCCCTGTATAGCCAGAAAGAATGGAATTGTGTTTGTTTTGGGGTTTAGGAAATATACTACGAGTTTAAGGGGAGATGTCAAAAGTGACAAGTTCTTTTAATAGTGGCCACAGGGCCAGGAGGAGTGGGTTTCTCACACCTGTAATCCTAGCACTCTGGGAGGCCAGGGTGAGTGCTTGAGCTTTGGAGTTTGAGACCAGCCTAAACAAGAGCAAGACCCCATCTCTACTAAAACAAAATAGAAAAAACTAGCCGGGCATTGTGGCAGGTGCCTGTAGTCCCAGGTACTCAGGAGGCTGAGGCAAGAGGATCTCTCAAACCTAGGAGTTTGAGGTTGCTGTGAGCTATGAGGCCAGGGCACCCTACCCAGGGTGACTCTGTCTCAGAAAAAAAAAAAGAATGGTGGCCACAGGCACAGGTACTCACTAAAACTAAAAGGTGTTCATTTGTAGAAAAGGATTAGTATTTTATACTAATATTTGAAAATGTAAGCATTTGGAAGACACTGACTTTGATTCTAGTTATGCCCAGCAGCAGTATGTTTAAAATGACAATACCTGTATTTTTCATTTGATAGGACATCATTACTAGTGTTTTTGTTTGGGGCCTTTGCACCTATTGCTTTGTACTGTTACTTGTTTACTTTTCTAGTTCTATTTCCTTAACAAGACTGGGAGACTTTTGGGAAATGGGACTGTGTCATTTATTTTATTTTATTGCACACTGAGAGGTGCTTGCTGCATGTGTAATATTTATCTAAATTATGGTCCTGGAATATGCTGCCATTTTTCAACCTCTTCTGTCACTATTTTGAAATTTTGAGAAAACATTAAAATGTCAGTCATTTAGCTGGGCATGCACATCCCTGTAGTCCCAGCTACTCGGGAGGCTGAGACAGGGGCATCCCCTGATCCCCTGAGTCCAGAAGTTCAAGGCTGTAGTGAGCTGTGATCACACCAATACACTCTAGTCTGAGCAATAGAGCAAGACCATGTCTCTAAAAAACAAAGTTGATCTTTTAAACTATAAACATGTTTTTAAGGTGAAATGCTAACACAAAGTTTTAGTTTGAGATCAGCTTGAGATCATATAGTAAAAGTCTGAATTGTATACCTGAGAGAAACTTTTTATTACTGTTTTAATTTCTCTCTGATCCAAACCTGGGTTAGTTGGATATAATGACAATGCAGAGACGTGGCCTACAGTATATCTTTTTATGGTTCATATTTTATCTGTATAAATATATTGTTGAACTAGATCATGGGGAGAATTTTCCCACTGCTTAAAAGAATTAGTAAAGTTTTTAAGTGCTAGCGTGTCATGTGGTCAGCTTTCCTTTACCTCCACAAAATTCTGCTTTACCGTTTAATTTTATTATCATTACTGTTATTTTAGAGACAGGGTCTCTCTTTGTTGTTCAGGCTTAGAGTGTAGTGGTATGATCATAGCTCACTATAACCTCAAATTCCTGGGCTCAAGCAATCCTCTTGCCTCAGCCTCCTGAATGCCTGGGACACAAGTGTGTGCCACCCATGTGTGGCTAATTTTTTATTTTTGTAGAATTAGGGTCTCACTATGTTGCCCAGGCTGGTCTCAAACTCCTTGACTACAGGTGATCCTCCCACCTCAGCCTCTCAAAGTGCTGGGATTATGGGGGTGAGCCACTGCACCCAATTTCACTTAATTTTTAAAATAGATATTTTATTTAAAGGCCTTGTAGGAAGTTTATCATTAACAAGGCTTGAGTATCTAACTATAAATAAAACAATATTGCATTTCCTTTTAAATAGTATACAGTTGTGACCTTTTAATAAACCACATTCTTTTCTTTTTTTTTTTTTTTTTTGAGACAGACAGAGCCTCAAGCTGTCCCCCTGGGTAGAGTGCTGTGGCATCACAGCTCACAGCAACCTCCAACTCCTAGGCTCAAGAGAGTCTCCTGCCTCTGCCTCCCAAGTAGCTGGGACCACAGGCGCCCGCCACAACGCCTGGCTATTTTTTTTGGTTGCAGCCATTGTTGTTTGGCGGGCCCAGGCTGGATTCAAACCCGCCACCTTAGGTGTATGTAGCTGGCGCCTTAGCTACTTGAGCCACAGGCGCCGAGCCGCCACGTTCTTGTCTTACAGGTCCCTCTTGGCACCTCTTCTCTGCCCGACCAAGGACTTAGACTAACTATGGTGTTTGAGTCTTTCTGTAATAGTCTTTACCACAACATGTTTGGCATGGAGATATGTAACTGAAGATAGAGGCTAGAATTACAGACAATATGCTCTTAAGAATTTATATAAGAGTTTGATTGTAGGTGCCCAAATCTTGTTTGTCTATTCCTTCCACCAAAGGAGAGACACAATTTGTATTTTAAAGAGCAGAATAACTTTTCCTGCCATTTAAAAGACAGTCCTGATTGATCAGTCAATGAAGGAAGAAGTGTTATATTTTTCTATTACTTCAATTTCACTGACTTAGATGTCTTCAAGCCTATATTTCACGTATCTGCATTTTATTTATTAGCATTTAAATGGAGGAAAAAATACTGTCTAGGTGTGGTTGAGTGATTATGATCAGTCATGACAGATAAATGATGCTGTTAAAGAATTATTTATGCCAGAATCTGTTTGCAGAAGCCTCCCAGGGGCCTTCACCACTTTCCCAGGGATTTGGGAAGTTCCTGAGCCCCAAGATAGGTGGGCATGATTCCTTCTTGTGGGGTCTTTTTGAGCCTTCCTCCTTACTTGCCCTAGTTTTTCCATGGTTTCTGCAAAGATGAGCCCTGGTAACTGAGTTTTGTAAAGATGCCTGGGGATGGGAACACTGCGTAAGAGCATGTTCTGCCCAGCACTGTCGTGCAGAGGAGGTGAACAGGTTGCCCATATCTGGACAGAAGACAGGCCCTGCTTGGGGAGTGAACAACTGCAGTAGTACCGGGGAGGGAGAAAGGATGGGAGCTGGTCCAGACGGGGAGGGAATCCCAGGGTTAATAATGAGATCAGATGCTTCTATTGAGTTCCACGTGCCAAATGCCAAATAGTAAGCATTTTACAGGAGCTGATTACCACTCCTCAAACCATCTATGAATTAGGTGCCCTTATTATGCAGAGAACATTATATATAATGTAGATGAGGACACTAAGGCTGGAAAAAACAAGTGTCTTAGTTTGTTTGGGCTGCTGTAACAAACTACCCTCAACCAGGTGATTTACAAACAATAGGAAGGTATTGCTCGCAGTCCTAGAGGCTGGAAAGTGATAGCAACTCAAGGGTTTAGTGCCTGGTAGGGGCTCGTCCTCCTAGAGCCTTCCACCTGCCTCCTCCCATGGTAGAAGGGGTCAACAAGCTCCCTTGGGCCTCTTTGATAAGGGCACTCATCCCATTCACCAGGGGTCTACCCCCAAGGCCCAGGTACCTCCCAGTGCCCTACTTTCCTGCACTACCACCCTGGGGGTTAAATTTCAACATATAATTGTAGGGGAGACACAAATGTTCTGACAATAGCACCAGCTAATTTTGCTCAAGTGATGGGAAAAGACAGGTGAGACTAATACTTCCTCATCCCCAGATCTGGGGGACCTTCCTGCCTGGGGGCTGGAGTCTCCCTGGTGTGAATCCGTTGTTGCCCCAGTGTAAAGGGGTATACAGAAACTGCAGAATTCTAAAATCTTTTGAGTTGAAAGGCACTGGAGAGATTATCTGATCCTTCCCCTTCTCTAATGCATGAATCTTTCTCAAATATTTCTGAGAGGTCTTCCTGCCTTTTCTGGAACGCCTCAAAAGATTAAGACATTTAATCTCTCATGACACAACCCTGTTCCATTTTTACACAGCTTGCAGTGATGGGAAGGCTTTCTGTTGCAAGCCAGCCAGTGTGTCCCTGTGACTTCCATCATCCTCCGCAGTCCTTTCCCCAGCTCCCTGACCCCCTCCCCAGCTCCTGTCACAGGGTCTGTGCCTGTGGTTCTGCCTCCAGGCCCTGAGCAGTCAGGAGAAGCTGTCTCCCTGGTTTGCTGCCTCTGACTGGAGTGGGAAACCAGGGTGGTCTTTAGAGGCAGGGGTCAGATGTCAGGGTTAGCATGGGGCTAACCTAGCTAACAAATCTACCAAGTGGCTTGCCTTGCACCTGAAAGACTCAGGAGATCTGAGACGCACCTTTGCTACTTGACATGAGCATGTTTATTCTGGATCTGGGGCCAACACACATGTCCCACTGGGGAGAATACAAAGGAATTCAAGACATGGTTCCTGCCTCTGTTTCTGGCAGGATTCTATAGTTGTGTCCCGCCATTGACTTAAATGCATGTTCAGAAAGCTGTAGACACTGGAGAAGATTGATGAGGGTCGTTTCTGCCCTTTTCTGAAATTCCTTTGTTATGTTGTTTGTGGGTGAGTCTCCAGGGAGGTGTGAGGAAGTGCCAGGTGACTCTCAGCTCTGGTGGGAAGGAGCATGATGGTGTGATCGCCAGCAATGCGTGTGTGGGTATGTGTGTGTATTTGTGTGTACGTGTGTGATTTTCTGCTGGGGTCTCCCATTTGTCTAATGGGGGAGGTCCGTGGAGAAATCTTTTCCTTCCATTTATTTTTAAAAGTGTCTAATGCTTTTCTGTAGTGGAGATGATACATGAGTCAGCATATCTTTATTATAATCTGACGTTTCTGCTTGTTCCTTGTTCCTCTAAAATTAATTTTTATTTCCTCTTTCTCTCCCCAGAAATCACCCAGTAGACATGATGAACATCAAGGCCTTCACGCTGGTCTGTGCCGTGGAGCGGGAGCTGCTGGTGGCCGGCAAGGAATGTGTCAGCATAGAGTGCGTGGAGTGCTGCGGCAGGGACCTGTACGTGGGCACCAACGACGGCTTCATCTACCACTTTCTGCTGGAGGAGAAGCCGGTGCCCACTGGGACTGCCACGTTCACGGCCACCAAGCAGCTGCACAGACACCTGGGTTTCAAGAAGCCCGTGAACGAGCTGCGGGCAGCCTCGGCTCTCAACAGGCTGCTGGTGCTGTGTGACAACTCCATAACCCTGGCCAACATGCTGAGCCTGGAGCCCGTCCCCTCAGGGGCCCGCATCAAAGGAGCATCCACCTTCGCTCTGAACGAGAACCCTGTGAGCGGGGACCCGTTCTGCGTGGAGGTTTGCATTATTCCTGTTAAACGCAGAACCATCCAGATGTTTCTGGTGTACGAGGACCGGGTGCAGATCGTCAAGGAGGTGTCGACCCCCGAGCAGCCCCTCGCTGTGGCTGTGGATGGACACTTCCTGTGCCTGGCCCTGTCCACTCAGTACATCATCCTGAACTACAGCTCGGGTGTCTCCCAGGACCTGTTTCCCTACTGCAGTGAGGAGAAGCGGCCCATCGTCAAGAGGATAGGGAGGCAGGAGTTTCTGCTGGCGGGCCCTGGGGGGCTGGGTAAGGAGGCTGGCTGTGGGACACCACGCTCCCAGGTGATCTCTGTGAATGCCCAGCCTGGAGCCTGGGAATGTAGCTGTGCACAGGAAGCACTCCTGGGGCATGCATCAGCCGCGTGTGCTAGTATCCCCTTTGGTTGTTCTGTGAACATGGGGCTAGTGCAACAAAAAACAGACTAGTGATAAGTACAGTTTGATTCATGTTAAAAGTGGAGCTTGAAGATGGCTCTAGTGAGAAAATTCTTTTCTCTTTGTCTCACTTTGCCCAAGCTAGAGTGCTGTGGCTTCACCATAACTCCCAGCAACCTCAAACTCCTGGGCTCAAGTGATCCTCCTGCCTCATCCTCCCCAGTAGCTGGGACTACAGGCATGCAGCCACCATAGCCTACAGCTAGTTTTTTCTATTTTAGTAGAGACAGGGTCTCAGTCTTGCTCAGGCTGGTCCTAACTTCTGAGCTCAAGGGATCCTCCCACCTTAGTCTCACAGAGTGCTAGAATTACGGGCATGAGCCACCATGCCCAGCCAGGGAAAAAAAATTTTTCTTTTTTGAGATAGAGCTTCAAGCTGTCACCCTGGGTAGAGTACCATGGCATCACAGCTTACAGCAACCTCTAATTCCTGGGCTCAAGCGATTCTCCTACCTCAGCCTCCCAAGTAGCTGGGACTACAGGTGCCCACCACACCGCCAAGCTATTTTTTGGTTGCCGCTGTCGTTGTTTGGCAGGCCCAGGCTGGATTCGAACCTGCCAGCTCAGGTATATGTGGCTGGCGCCTTAGCCACTTGAGCCACAGACACAGAGCCCAGGAAAAATTTTTAAAGAAATAACTATAGAAATAAAACTCCTTAAGCTTCCTTATAAGATTTTTCCCATCTCGGTGGGTTTTTCATTTGATAGTTTTTGCTCTTCTGAAAAGGAGTTGAGTATTTCCAGATGTGGATCCTTCGGTGTTATATCCATAATTTTGTCTTTTATTTCCTGTCATTCCATCCCACCAAAAAGTTTTTAGTAGCCTCCTCCTTGAAAAAGGGGGCTTTGGCTATTTTTGTACAGCTATCACTAGTACTGCCTTATCAAAATGAAGAATCAGAACTATTAACATTAGTGATATCACTTAGGGGTGTTTTCTTTCAGACATGGGTGGCTCATGCTGGAATCAGCACGCACGTTCATGTTACCGGGGTACCGGAGAGAGCGAGTCCCTTTTAACACTGGTGTTTTTTAACCTTAGTTTTTGTATAGACAGCTCATTTCAAAGTGATGAGTATAAGCACATTTTCTCATGATAACAAAAATTTGGATCATGAACTAGTTAATGTACACTTCGTAATTTTTACTTTGTTAAAAAAGAAAAAAAACAGACCTTATTTTTTGGAGCAGTTTTTAGGTTCAGAGCACAATTGAAGGGAAAGTACAGAGAGTTTCTGTAGACTCCCTGTCTATCCCATCCCCTAGGACGGCAGTGCCTTGGTCACAGTTGATGGGCCTGCACTGGCACATTACTGTCACCCACAGTCTGTGGTTTACTCTTGGTCTTGTGCATTCAGTGGATTTTGACAAACAATAGTGACATGTCTGCCGTTATGGCATCACACAGAGCAGTTTCACTGCCCTAAACATCCCCTGTTCTCTACCTGTTCACTGTTCCTCCCCGCAGCCCCTGCTCTTTGTGCTATCACTGTAGTTTGCTTTTATTGAGACAGAGTCTCACTATGTCACCCTCAGTAGAGTGCTGTAGTGTCACAGCTCACAGCAACTTCAAACTCTTTGGCTTGCCTCTGCCTCCCAAGTAGCTGGGACTACAGGCCCCTGCCACAATGCCCAGGTATTTCTTTGTTGTAGTTGTCATTGTTGTTTAGCCGACCTGGGCCGGGTTTGAACCCACCAGCCCCAGTGTATGTGGCCAGTACCCTAGCCACTGAGCTATGGGCGCCCAGCCATCATTTTTGCGTTTTCCAGAATGTCAGGTAGTAAGAATCACAGGGTCTGTGACCTTATCGTATTGGCTTCTTTTACTTAGTCATTTGCATGTAAGTTTCCTCTGTGTCTTTCCATGGCTTGATAGCATAGATTTTTACTTTTCAAAGAAAAAATTCTTACTCTAGTCACCTTTTCTGCAAAAAAATGAATTTTTTGTTATGGAAAACATACATAAACAACATGCTTGGGAAAGAGAAAAGCATAAGGAACCTGCTGCCGGCCATCAGCCAGTGTCAGGCATTGTCATTTTGTTTAAACACCCTTCATTCCCTCTGTCGATTATTTTGAAGCAAATGCCAGCCACTACAGAATTTCTTCTGCAAATATTTTAATATTTATTTCTAAGTTACACTTAAGAAAATCAAATACTATTATATACCTAAAAGAATTCACAGTAATTCCTTAATATTACCACATATATCTAGATATATCACTTCTCCATTATATATACTAGATATATATATATATATATATATATATAAAAATACATAGATTCACTTCTGTTTAAGTATTTGTATGTTTATTTTTCAGTTTGTTTGAATCAGTTCCAAGTAAGGCCCATACATTGCAATTGGTTGATCTGTTAAATTTCATTTATGTTTAGGTTCCCTTCCTTCTTATTTTTTAAAAATTTTATCCGTAAAGGAATTAGGTGATTTTTTTTTTTTTTTTTTTTTTTGTACAGCTTCCCATAGTCTGGATTTTGGTCATTTCATCCCATAGTATTTTTTATTATGGTACTCTAACCTCTGTATTTCCTGAAAATGAGTAATTAGGAGATCAAAGTTTCTTCTTCTTTTTTTTTTTATTTGTTCATTTTGCAGGGAGGCAAGACCGTGTCACGGTACTTCTGTCGGGACACATACTGCCTTTTCATCTCGCTTTTTAACAGCTGGTGATGGTGTTGCCCCTATCTGTTCAATCTTTAGGGGCTGCCACATGCTGATGTCCTGTTTCTGTCCTTTCCTCCTTTAGTCCTAATCCAAAAATCCAGAATACTCCAAAGCCTGCAACTCTTTGAGCATTGACATGTTATCATACCTAGAAAACTCCCCACATAAGTATTTGACACAAAGTTACTAAAAATGCATAAAATTATCTTCAGGCTATGTGAGTAAGATGTATATAAAACATAAATGAATTTCATATTTATACTTGGGTCCTGTCTCAGGATATCTCATTGAATATATGTAAATATTCAAAAAATCCAAAGTCCAAAACACTCCTGATCCCAAGCATTTGAGTTAGGGGATACTCGACCTATATCAGGAATGGTTCTGTGAAGTGAAACTTTTCATTAACTAGTATAGTTGGTTAGCCCTTAAGTATGTTGTATCAAGAGGCAGGATGAAGCAGTTTTTCTTTTTCTTTTCTTTTCTTTTTTTTTTTGAGATAGAATCTTACTCTGTCACCCTGGTTAGAGTGCTGTGGCATCATAGCTCACAGCAACCTCAAACTCCTGGGCTCCAGCAATCCTCTTGCCATAGCCTCTCGAGGAGCTAGGACTACAGGTGCCCGTCACAACGCCCGGGTAGTTTTCCTATTTTTAGTGGAGACCAAGTCTTGCTCTTGTTCAGGCTGAGCTCAAACTCCTTAGCTTAGGCAATCTATCCACCTCGGCCTCCCAAAGTGTTAGGTTTACAGGCATGAGCCACTGTGCCCGGCAAGACAGTTTTTCAATAAGGGGGATCCCTTCGGTCTTTCAGAGACGATTTTCTAAAAAGCATCATTATGAAGTCACAGATGTGGTTGGCTTCCTCCCTGTCTCGTGGAGGTTCTTTCAGGTGGACTCCGGAGTTTCTGTGACTTGTCCCTAAGAATCTGTTACTGGCTTGGCTGCTGTCATGCTCCCAGCTCACCTAGTGCATTTTCTGCCCTGGGTCTAGTTTCAGCCATGTTTCGTAGAACCCTGATGTTCGCAGACCACAGCCTTAGAGCTCCGTGTTTTTTATTGTTTCGTGGCCTTTGCAATAGGCATTGCTGGAAAGTGTGTCTTTTTTTAAAGGTAACTCTGCAGCAAGGTCATCTTGATAGAACCAGTCCATCAGCTTACCTTTCAACCAGGCTGAAAATCTGACTTCTCTACCACCCAACAGCATTCTTCCTTTGATTCATCCCACGGTATGGAGAACAGAAAAAGAAAACCAACACTGCTGTTCCCACAGTGTAATTACTGGAAAAAGTCGGATGGTTTGTGGTTCTTTTTTGTCCTGCGGGTATTAGGGATATACAGTCAAATTACTGTGTTTTTAAGTCACTTGGAACGGTTCCTCTCAGTGTGGTCATGCCACCAACTGGGTATGCAGTCAGATTGGTTTGTTTTATTTTACTTTCAATTTTTGGAAATTGCTCTAGTTTATTTATTTTTTACGATATAAATATTTATAAGGTTCCGAGGCAGATAGGTAAGCAGGCTAGAATAAAAGAGGTTTGGCTTACATCCTGCTTCACCTAGTCTCTCACTCCCCCACAGGTAAACTTTATTTTTGTGGTTTATTCTTTCATTTTTAAATAAAACATATTAACAAATGATGTAAACATTTGTATCTCCCTCCTTTTTGGCTCTATGGTAGTGTACTTTTCTTTACCCTGGTTTTTTAATTTAATATATTATGGGGATCACTTCGTGGTATAACAGGTCTTCCTTCATTTTTAAAGCTCCATGCTACTCTAAGGTGTGGAGATGAACGTAGTTCCACCGGCTGGTGGGCACTCAGGATTTTTCTCGTCTTAGGCTGTGAGTGGGGACTCACCTTTGTGTGCATGTGTTTTCAGTGTATCAGTGAGAAAGCTTTCCAGAGGCGAGGCTGCCAAGTCAGTGTGTAAATGCAGGATATTACCACACTCCTCTCCATAAAGGTTGCACCATTTTATTTCTCCCCAGTGACGTATGACAGTGCCTATGTCACCCCGGCTTTGCCAACAGAGTATGTTGTCCAAACTTGTGTGTTTTTGACAGCCTGGTAAAACTACTTGAGAAATGGTTTGCCAGTGTAGTTTCAATTCACATTTCTCTTATGC